AATGTGTTCCGATGCGCCTCGGAGGATAGCAGCAAAGATAAAATAGAGATCCTTGCTGGTGTTCGGCCCAATTGTTCAATAATCTTGTACTCACTHTGTTTGATTAGCTTAAGAAACTCCTGAGTCTCTTCCTCGGACACCGGTTGTTTTGGGCCCACTGCCTCCTGAAATTCATCATAAATGTCTTCACCGAGCTTGGCCTTCCCCTTTTTATCTTGTTCTACCTTTTCATTTTTCTTTTCGCTTGCTTTCTCTTTTTTATTTGTACTGTTGGGCTTATTCGTGTGCTTTAGCAAGCTCTCTGGAGTATAGCACCTCCCAGTTCGTGTCATACCTCCCCCTCTCGTAATATTGTCGACTGGGAGTGAGGAAGATTGTGCCTTTTGACCAACAGTTACTTTACACTCATATTTCCAAGGCACTGCTTTGGAACTGCTATACTCGAACGGAGCGGGGACCTGGATAGTGATTGGCCTCCAACTGTTGCTGGGTACCTCAGGCTTTTCACGATACAATACCGTGAGAGGTTTTGGCTTATAAGCAGCGCTTGAGCTTTCAGCAGTTGAAACATACTCTACCACATCTATCCTTTGTTCCTGGTGAGATTGAGTAACTGTGAGGATTTTCAAGTCCAGCAACTCTTGTACTTTCTCTTTAAAACAACTGCACTGCTCGAGAGGATGACCTCTTGCCCCAGCGTGGTACGGGCATGTCAGGTTTTCATCATATCTTTCACACCTGATATCTGGRCARAGATGCTCCATGGACATATACCCGTGKCTCCAAAGGATTTCAAATAACTYCTGCATAGGAGTTGTAATTTCTGATACTTTACTCCTTGATTCGATCCCTTGACATTCAACTGCATTTATTTGTACATTCTTATGGTTTGGCAGCGGATTGTTTTTCACATCCGGACMATTTTCTTTCTTAAAGGTCAGYCATCCTGCCTTGATCAACGCTTGGACTCTGTACTTAAGTGCTGTGCAATTTTCTGTAGAATGCCCGATAGCTCCTGCGTGGTAATCACAGCGGRCGTTTGCATCATACCATCCTGGGTACGGAGGCTGGATCGGATCCACGGGTACCGGTGCCAGTTGATTATTCTGAAATAACTGGGGCAGGAGCTCAGTGTAAGTCATTGGAATTGGGTCAAACTGGGATTGCTTACGTGTCGATCTGTTGTTCTGCTGCCCCTGAGTATAAACGGTATTTTGCTGGTAACCCCTGGGCTGGAAGCCTTGACTTGCTGGAGGTCTAAAATTCTGAGAGGCAGTATACTGGAAAGTAGCGYTATTCACRTACGGTTGGTTATATCCGTATGGTGACGGGTAATAATATGGAGCATACYGCKGTGTTTTACCATATGGTGGTTGCCTCCAAACGTGTCGGTCGGCGCCTACCATTTGCACCTCACCTTCCTTTTTCTTCGAGGATGTCRCMTTCTTTGWKGTTGACGATTCTCCAACAGTGCTGGTTATTCGACCATGCWTAACCCCGTATTCAATTCTTTCTCCAATAGTCAAAATATCGGAGAAGCTCGTAGAAGCACTTCCTATCATCCGATCATAAAAAGGATGTTTTAGGGTGTTAATGAACATGGAAGATARCTCTTTATCAGTCAWAGGAGGYTGGAMCTGAGCAGCTGTATCCCGCCATCTTTGAGYGTACTCCTTAAAGCTTTCTRTGGTTTTTTTCTCCATCMTCTGCARATCTAARCGGTCGGKYKCCATATCTATGTTATGTTTATAYTGCTTTAGGAAGGAATCAGCCAAATTCTTCCACGAACYAACATGGRCRCTGTCTAAATGCATGTACCAACRGGAAGYYGGGCCAGACAAACTATCCTGAAAACAGTGTATCAATAGCTTGTCATTCTGGATATACGCTGCCATCTTTCTACAGTACATGATAAGATGGTTCTTAGGACAAGAAGAACCATYGTACTTCTCAAACTCTGGAATTTTGAACTTTGGAGGGATGACTAGTCCCGACASCAAGCATAGTTGGGAGGCATCAATGTTGCCAAAAACATCTGTTCCCTCTACTGCTCGCAGTCTTTCCTCCAGAACCTCTAATTTCTCACTGCTAGGGGCCTCCTGTCTTTCTGGGTCCTTATTTGCTTGAGGACCACCCAGATTAAGGACTGTAGGCGGTGCTATGACTTGCTCTGGCTCTTGAAAAATAATGCCGGCTGGAGCTTGCGGAGGTCCCCTGACCAACGGAGGTGGGAACTGCCCAGCTGGAATATCATAAAGAGGGTTGTACGTTGTGTATTGAGACATAAATCCCTCTGTCATTGGCCTGAAAGACGGTCCCGCTGGCCGAAAAGATGGCTCAAAACCTGGCGGGAACTGAGGGGTTGGTGGCTCGTGGATTGGATTGCTAGTTTCTGCAATCGTCTTCCCCTTTTCAAGGGCGAGGAGGATGGCGTCTAACTTCTCTCGCAGCTCTTCAATATCCTTCCTCGTTTTTTCCTGTTCGGATTTACGGTCATCTTCCATTTTTATTTTCGTCCTAAGCCTTGTGCGATACCTATGGCGTGGCGCCGGTGAGCGAGCTATCTTGACCAATCCCTTTTCGTTTTATGAAAAAGAGAGTATAAATAAAATAAAAAACTAGATAAAAAAAATGAGAAAAGGAAAGTAAGCTCAAGGTTTTATTAAAAAAAACAAAATGATTGTGCCGAACTTGAGCTAAATGTTTATATCCTTATATTGGAAATAAATTAAAGCAGAGCCTCAGTAAAAATGTCYCCAATGTTCCAGATCTCGTCTGAGCTTGCCTAGAAATTTAAGTGTGCTTCTGCCATTCGGCTGCGTAGGGGCAATGGCAGATGTGAGAGCTCGTGCTTCATCAGCTAAAACGTCCGCCCTTCGAGCGGCTTTTCTAACTTGAGTGAGCACACCTTCCGAGTTGTGATATAGTCTCATATTATCTCACTTCACCTGATCCAATTCACATTCCGCTTGATTGTACTGCTCTTTGATGCAAGTGTAACCCTGCATTACCTTTTCAGCTGCACTTTGGGTCTAATCGAGACGACTCTTAACAACTTCAACAGCTTCCCTTAACCTCTCGTTTTCCTGAGCATACTGGACCAACTGTCCTTCCTTTTCTTCCATTACTATGACTTTTTCACGCAGGGATGAAATTTTTGTTCGAAGGGAAATAATTTCAACTTCTCGTTGTGTTCTGATCCATGACCTTCCTTGTTTCTTGCAATATCGGCTCAATGTTATGGGGTAAGCCCAACTGTGGTCCTTTCCTGGCTGAAGTCGAGCTTCTTTCCCGTAGCTCATATTCCATTCTACGTGACTTCTGTTGAGGGGAATGATTTGGGCTTATTTTCGTAAGAGCCCTCCTGACTGGAATGTCTGCTTTGCCCTTGTCTGTTGATAGCAGAAGCACAGTTTTTCCCCTACTCGCATGCCAATGCATGTATGTCTCGAATGCATCATCATGGTATCGCCCACTTTGGATTTT